CCTAAAACCCTAACCCCTAAAACCTAAAACCCTAAAACCCCTAAAACCCATAGTGTCCGGGGAGTCTCGAGGCTGCCTTCGAGACCGGCGTGGACCAGGAGCGACAGCATGGCCACCGGGCCCACCATCAACCTTTGGCTTTTCAGGGTTTAGGGTTTAGAGTTTAGGGGTTTAGGGGTTTAGGGTTCAGGGTTTAAGGGTTTAGGGGTTTAGGGTTCAGGGTTTAGGGGGTTGCATAAAAGGTTTAGGGTTTAGGCCTTTGGCTTTTTGGTTTAGGGTTAAACGGTCAAGGGAGTTGCGTGGCGCCCCTTTCATAACAAGCTTAGGGTCTAAAGGGTTCTAGAATGTGGTGCCTCTAAGAATTAATCACTTATTAACTAATATGGGGTTTGGTTATGCCTGAAGCATGTTGCGGAAGCCTGAGGACTTGCGTGAGTACTTAGCCGGTCTGGATTCCATATTTGGTTCAGGGCTTAGGCTGAACTGATGTTCAGGGTTTAATGTGAATTGATGTGCCTTGACGGCTGGGGTTTTCCTTGGTCTTCTAGCGGGTCTTATGCTGACTTAAACGCTTGAGTTGCGCACTGCTGCTCTTAGGGTTTGGTGTTTAGGGTGCTGTTCTTGTTTTTGTAATTCTGGTTATCACGCGCTGTTGTTGTTGTTGTTGTTGTCGTCGTCGTCGTCGTCGTCGTCGTCGTCGTCGTCCTTATCGGCGGGATTCAGGGCGCATGGCTTTCTACAAGAGGATGGCCTTCGAGCTCTTTCAAATTCTGTGGGACTTGAACTTGAAGTTGCTTCTGTCGGTCTCTGTCCTTCCGGTGCTGTGTGGATGTTCGGTTTTTCGGGCTACAGAAGCTGTAGTAACTGATATAGCTGTTGTTCAACCTGCCTGTGGGCTGTCAGTTGTTTCGATCGTGTGGGGCCTCGAATTGCAGTCACCGGGACCATGTGCAGAGTCCATGCCGCATTCATCCAAGCCCTGCGGGCATTTAACACTCTGGCGAAGCTCGCGATGGCTACTTCTTGCTGCCCCGCTAAACCCAGCCAAAACCTAGACCCCGAACAACTGAATCCGTAAAGCCCGAGCCCGATGGGGCCCGAGACCCGAAAGCCCTTGAACCCTTAGACCCAATTCAGTAGAATTCGTTAGCAAAGGCTCTGCCGAGACTGACCCAGAAGTGAGTAGACCAGCTGTGGCATGACGAGGGCATACCTTAATGGCTTGGGATTGAAGTTTCGAAGGATCGGGGTTCAGGAGTTGGGAAGAAAGGGTTATGCTAGCATCGGGTTCAGTCAGAGCTTCCGGAAAGAGAGGCGACGGACCCAACCAGGTCCGAGTCCGAAACTCCCGGCACCGAACCACCTGGTGCGATCCCGTCCGCCCTTAGTACTAAACCCTAAACCCTAAACCCCTTACACTCACGACTGCCTCTCTCTGATGTAGTCTTCGGCGGACTCCAAACAAGACCCTAATCTAGAGTCACATTGACATGTACCATGTCCACTCAATCTAATGGAGCCTGTGGGTAGCCGCTTCGACTGTCTAAGAGGCCGACAAGTAGCCAAGTTAATAGCTCCCTTGCACAGTATCTTAGGACATTTAAAGGTGAACCTTGGGAATTCCTCTTTATAGGTGTAACAGTACCCCCCCCCCCCCAAGAAAAAAAATGCTAAAGGTTACCTACCCTACTGATAGGTGAACTAATGTCCACAGTATCTCCGAGCTCCAGGGGCTTCAGGTCAGAGCATCGCAAGACTGAAACCGCCTCTGTTTAGGGTTTCGGGTTTAGGGTTTAGGGGTTTAGGGTTTAGGGTTTCGGGTGTAGGGTTTAGGGGTTTAGGGTTTATAGTAGCAAGTTCCGCCTGCGGCTGAGTGGGGTCCTCGAGCACCACATGCTGGTTGCGAGGCAAGTTGCAGACCGTATTCCTGGGGTGTCGGGGTCTGATCGTGGTGGTCACATAACCAAGATTTAGGGGCTGAGTACCCTAGCCCAAGAAAGGTTAACCTTTTGAATTATAGTAGGATTATAGGAGCCCCAAAGGGTTAAAGGTTACCTACTCAGCCACTAAGAAGATTTCGTGTTCGAAGGGGCTGATTCACGTGTCGCGTCTGCTAGATATTTCAACCAGCATGGTTTGCTTGAAACGATGGGAGCGAGGCGTGTACCATTTTATATATATATATATATCCATATAGAGAGGCAGCAAAGCCAAATTTCCCTTCGCGACTTGGAGTTATCGGTCGAAAAACCCCAGCAGCTGACCCAAAACCGCATATCCCAGACCCTAAACCGCAAACCCCAAGATCAACTCCTGCACCCTACGAGTAGCCTGAAAAGTCTAGCCCCAACGTCATGTCATGGACCTGCAATCCCTACGTCCTTAACCTCAAAACCAGACCGTACCTGCAGTTCAGGGCCCTAGGCCATGGAGTTCACAGGGTGAGCAAAACGTAAGCTGTCACCTTGTAAGCGGTCTGTATAAACCCAGAAGCTTACAATTTGTCTATGCTGGTCTATAGTGAAGTCAGCGTGAAGTCTACGGCCAACGTAGCTACTAAGTATTGTAGACCCCTGATGAGTAAACCTACGGTCTTCAGGGGACCGTACTAGGAGGTTGAGGGAGGGGGCGGCATTTATCAGAGCGCCAAGCCCCAAGATCCCCCTTGCCAAACTCCAACTAGCCGGCATCTCAGCTTAGGGATTAGGGATCAGGAATTCGGGTTTAGGGTTTAGGCCAAACAGCTTCTGTTTCTTTGGGGTTGCTAAGACCTAAACCCTTTGGGGGCCACTGTGTTTTCTCCGAAGATTTCGGGTTTAGGGCCGGCAGTAGGCGTGGACGGAAACCCTGCTTGGTCCTAAACCCTAAACCCTACAAGCTAAACCTATACTGAACTTAGACCCCTAGCAAAAATTGTAATGTTGGCCATTTTAGCTTCTTCTTGGGGTTTATAGTAGCCAAAGATTAAAAATTACTTCTAAGTACCCCTAACAAACCGTGGAGTCCTGGATGGAACCTAGTGAGGCAGAACAGGGCCTCTGTCCTCCGGCCTATGGAAACTTGCAATATACCGCTCTTGGAAACTCGAACCATGGAACCTGCCAAGCTGCTAAGCCCCTGAAGCCAAAAACCGAAAAGACATTGACATAAACACTAACCCTAAACCCTAAATAACAAACGCAGCTGAGACATACTGTTTTAGCAGGGTCCTCCACACCCCATACGGTAGGAAACTCGTGTTCATCTCCCATAGATCATTGGCCCCTATTTGAGCTGTTTCGAAGGACTCTCCACGTTTCGCGGGCAAATCATTCAGGATCATTCAGGAGCATTTGCCTTCGACCCTTAATTTGCCTTCGACCCTTAACCCTATTAAACCGAAACCGCAAACCACCGAAACCGCAAACGTGGGCTGAAATCCTAAACCCTTAGCCCTAAACTCCTGAACTCCTAAACCCTAAACTCATGCCATGGAGCGAAGGGAAGGGCTGCGATGCTAGCGTACGACAGGCTCTCGGGGACACCCATCACGCCGACCGTCAGGCCTTGGAGAAGGCTACTTGGAGGATCATGGGACTTAGTAAGTAAAGTCATAAATCCCTTAATTGGGGCTATAAGTATAGTTACCCTATTTATAACCCTACTTACTAAGTCCCATGATCCTTTAAGTAGTGTTTTGAAGGCTCTTTTTCTCCCGTTTAGGCATTGAGATTCGAGGCTCCCGAAACCATGAACTTCCTGAATTAAAGAATAACAGGGGATGGGCTGGATCCACCTGGAGCCCACCTGTGGCGGGAGGTTTTCCTCCTTGAGATTTCAAACTGCAGGAGTCACTTCCAGGCCTGTCTCACCTTCAAACATGGTGGGAGTCTACCCTCGAATGCTAGAGGCTACCTGCCTCTCAACCTTGAAGATCAGCTTGAGAACCTTCGTGCCGAGATGCCTGCGATCAAATCTGATGCGATTGATGCGCAGCTGGCCTGCAGCAAAGAACCCAGCGAGCGAGCTTCAAGGAATCGAGCATAGGATTTCTACGGCTTCGCATGTACCTCAAGCCATCTCGGGCTTCTTGTTAAGCTTTACGGTCTGCTCCTTCATCGTGAATTGCGCCCAAGCATTCAGTGATGAAGGGCTTCGGGTTTATGGTGAGTCACTAGCAGACCTGGAGAAAACTACGGCAATATCAAAAAAAGCAACGAAGCCTGCCCATGGTTCTCTGACCCTGCCTTGCTTGTGTACTATGTATTACATATATTATACTTATATCTATCTACCATATATAGTATATAGCATAGATTCGATTTTGTTATATTATACGTCTTATGTTCAAACCCTAAACCCTAAACCGTCCTGATCCCTCTAAAGCAACCGACGGCTCGCACCGGGGCCTGCCAGAGCTGGCTGAACCTGAGCGGGGCGTCGGGACCCAGGGGTTTTTAGTACTGTTCGCATTACCTTAAGGGTTTAGGGTTTTAGGGTTTAGGGTTTAGGGTTTAGGGTTTTTAAGGCCCTAAACTACATTAAAAAGGGTTTAGGGGTTTAGAGTTTAGGGTTTAGGGTTTAGGGTTACCTTAAGGACCCTAAACAATGGGAATCATGGTTTATTCCTTATTATGGGTAATGCAGGAATTAGATCATCAAATTAGAGCTGCAAAAATCGGCTATACCGCGATGCGAGCAGCTCCCGTCGAGGGGCCCATGGTTCATCACTACTTCGGGGATCACTCTCAGAGGACCAAGACTTTGCAAAAATTCAGAACTAGGTTACCTTATGTTGGGGTCCTTAAAATAAGGATCCTACTATCTAGGGTGCTATATTAGGGTCCCCTATTTTTTAAAACACCCAAATGGCCGAACGCCCTGCCTTTCCAGCTTTGGAAGCCCACACCCAGACGCGAGTTCGGAAATCGAAAACCCGAGCCCTCTTCCGAAATTGCGCACCTCGTGGGAAACACAGAGTAAACCCTTAACCCTCAAACCCTAAACACTTAAACCCTTATACCCTTAAGTCCTCAACCCTTAAGCCCTAAACCCTTAAGCCCGAAACCCTAAACCCTTAAACCCTAAACCCTCAACCCTTAAATCCAAAACCCTCAAAGACTAAACCCTTAAACCCTAAACCCTTGCAGACCCTTGTAAACCCCTAAACCCTAAACCCTTGTAGACCCTTGTAAACCCCTAAACCCTATACCCCGAAGCCCTCCGGCGCCCTCTGAAACTCCCTAAACCCTAAACCCTAAACCCTTAAACCCTTAAACGCCCTCTGAAACTCCGGCAGCGCCGAGCGACAAGGGCACTCGCCGCCCAGCCCAGGCCAACCAGGTCGTCTGAGACTCGGGCCTGCATTTTTTCTTTTAGGGTTTGGAGGTTTAGGGTTTAGGGTTTAGAAGTTTAGGGTTTAGGGTTTAGGGTTTAGGGTTTAGAGGTTTAGAGGTTTAGGGTTTAGGGTTTAGGGGGCCTGCATTTTTCTTTTATATATGTTATAGTCTATCTATTCTATTCCTATTCTTTTTATTCTATTTCTATTCTATTCCATTCTGTTCTGTTCTATTATATATACATATACAGATACATAGTAGCAAAACAAGCAGGAATATTAACAATAACATTAGATAATTAATATAGAGATATTATACATATACATAGTAACAAACACAAACAGCAATTAGGATTAACGACTACGCTAGTAAGAACGGTCACTTAACTTAATAGTCCTTATGACCATTTACGTTACTTTGCAACTTGCAACGACTAGTTGTGGAAGTTGTGGACATTGAGTTGAGGGTTTAGGGTTTTTGAGGGGGGATAGGGATGCTTGGGGTTTATAGTCAGACCTATGGTTCATTGTTCAGGGCTACGACTATACGAAGCATCGCGTTGGCAGGAAGAGCACTGGCTCCTGTACCAATGGCAGCATTAAAAGCAATGTCGTTTGTGGGCTGCTGCTTATGTACATGCTGCGACACCCTAAACCCTACCGGGCGCAGAGTTTCAAGGCGACTTCCAAGACCTGTGAGTGCGGGAGCGATCGGACTGCACTGCCATCCTCACGCTTTCGCCATGCTTAGGATAGAGGTGTTTGGTGCCCAATGTGCTCGTTGATGCTCATTGTTACCTTGGTTTGCAAATATGGCTGACAGGGGAGGGAGGACATGGCGAGATGAACGCAGCCACCTTCCGCAGAGAGGAGCTCAGCAACTAATTGCTTTTGGTTTGCGGCAGGGTTAACTCTGGAGGGGAGAGGGGAACTTGATGGCAGCAATGATGCTGCTGGTCTGATGGTGATTCGCGATCAAGGTGGTGGTCAGGGTAGCAGTCGACGTGTTAGTCACTTTGTGGTTGCTGGCGACGACGACGGTGAGGATAGTGCTGGGGACCATGCCGAGTGGGGTCGGCGATGAGAGTCACCACTGCTTCCAGGACGATTCGCATTGCCGAAAACAGATGCCACGGTGTATGGCTACATGTAGATACACATGCATACAGAGAGAGAGAGAGAGTATGATGAGTGCTTGAACATAACTCGACATCAATGAGAAGAAGTATCTATGCATGTATGTACATATACATATCTACCCGTCTGGATATGTACGCAATATGTATCACCCCTAAACCCCTAAACCCTACAGCCCCCCAAACACCGACAACCCTAAACCCAAAACAAGAAACCCTAAACCCCTAACCCCCCCCTCCCCCCACAAAACAAAACTCTAAAGCCCTAACCGCTAAACTCTAAACCCTTCAACACCGAAACTCCCTAGTTACAAACCCCTAAACTCTAAACCCTTAAACCCTAAACCCTTCAACCCGACACCCCCTAAATTACAAAAACAAACTTGAACTCCCCTAGACCCGAAAGTGTCCCTTTCTCCCTTCAACCCGACATCCCCTAGATTACAAAAACAACTTAAACTCTGAAAGTGTCACTTTCTCCCTTCCGGCGGGACCTCAACGGCCTGAGCAGGTGCTTCTTCCGAGTGTAGGACTTGAAGTCCCAATGCTCCGGTTCCTCGGCGGTTTCGGGCTTAGGGTTAGGGTTTAGGGTTTAGGGTTTGGGGATGAGGGTTTAGGGTTTAGGGTTGAGGGAATAGGATTTAGGGTTTAGGGCTAGGGTTCAGAATTTAGGGCTTCAGAATGTAGGATTTGGGGTTTAGGGCCTTTTTGGGCGAGTAGAGGGGGTTAGAGCTTGGAGGTTTGGATGTGTCCTTTGGGGTTGAAAGCTGTGCTTCAGCTGTTTTGGTTCCAAGAATCTCCGCATGCGTGTGTTTGTTACAAGGTGGGTGTCCATGCTTGGGCTTTAGGGTTTACGGATTATAGGGTTTGGGTCTAGTAGAGGGGCCTAGCGACTGACAGGTTCATGGCTTCGGACGCGAAGGGACGAAAACATCCGAGCTCCCAACCACCAACCCTAAACCGTAGTGCATCCGGCTGCGGTCGAACCTTGCTGTTTCCGGAACTTGACCCTAAACCCTAAACCCTAAACCCAGTGAATCAACCCGAAGTGGAGTCAAAACTACAGCATCCTCCTCGGATTCGGTGGTCGCGTCGTCCTGGGCGAAACCAGCGACAGAACCCGGCCCAGGATACGACGTGCGCGTTGTTCTGATTTGCCCTCCCTGAAACTCTTATCAAGCATACCCTACGCCCTAAACCCCTAAACCCCGGCCTAAACTATAGTTGGATATAACCACTCAGATCCCACGCACTGATGATGTATGCCGTTCAGTGTTGACAGGATTATACCATGGCACAAAGCACACAGCTTTTTCCTATCAGAGCACTAGTAGCGACGGCGCATCCATACACAAAGTGTACTACACAAGGGGACAACAATTTACACGTGCATAATCTACATAAACCCTAAACCCCCAAACCGCCAAACCCCTAAACCCTAAACCCCAAACCCCTAAACCCAAAAACCCTAAACCCCAAACCCCTAAACCCAAAAACCCTGAACCCTAAAACCCCGAAACCCCAAACCCGAAAGTTGAAGGGAACATGCGTTTACCCCAGAGTTTGTCTTTCTGCGCAGCTGTCCCCAGTGGAGCGAGAAGGGCCCGGCACAGCGGTCTGAGTCTATTCCTTAAAAGAGGATCCTGAACCTTGAAAACCTTGAAACGGTTCAGGGTTTAGGGTTTAGAGGTGTAGGGTTTAGGGCTTAGGGTTTAGATCCTGAACCTTGAAAACCTCAAAACGGTTCAGGGTTTAGGGTTTAGGGTTCAGGGCTGAGTGCTTTCTCCGTTTTGGGATTTAACCCTGCAGCTTCAAGCCCTTAACTTTACCAAACGTAGGAAAACCCTAAACGGGTATATAGGGGCCTTAATAATTAGAATAAGGCCCTGGGGGTATTACTATACTACACTTATAATAAGGAGCCCCCAATATAGTATAGGTAACTATGAAAGCTCTTAGTTTTAAGCCTTAAGCCCCAACCCGGGGGGGTGGAAAACTGCAAACCCCACGAGAGCCACTCGCTCTGTAACACTAAACTCTAGGCAGCCCAAACGCAAAATGCACTCTTATGGTTT